AGAGTCTAAGGAACCACTCATTGATTGCGTTGATTTCCTACCCCGTGTTGACAGATGGGTCCCTGCTATGACTGAATTCACTGCTGATTTAGGAGACTTACACATGGCATATGATATAATTGGGATCCTAATCACTGTTCCTTGAAAGCCTGGTAAATCTTCACTGAGGGAGTAACACTGAGCTGAGTTTGGAAGGATGAATAGGAACTCATTAAGCACAGGAGGTGGGTAGAGACATTTCAAGAAGAGAAGGCAGTTTGCTTAGCACATGGCATATTTATGGAATGTTTCATGCATAGTATTGTCATTATAGGAGGTCATCCCCTACACTACTATCTCCTCTCCATATTCTTTATTTGGAGCAGAGGAAGGTACTAGGGACAGAACCCAGGGCCTTGCATATGCTAGGCAGACACTACCACTGAGCCATACCTTTGGCCCTGTGTATTTTTTTGTTTTCATTTTTAGAACTGGGACCTAGGAGTGTGTTATCACTGAAATACATCCTCAGCCCTTTTTATTTTTTTGAGACAGGATCTTGCTAAATTACTGGCCTCAAACTTGCAATCCTCCTACCTCAGCCTCCAAAATCACTGAGATTATAAGCATGTACTACCACATTCAGCAAGATTTTAGATTCCTAATTTGCTGTACTATCAATCCCCAGGATCAGTGAATTTTCTCCATAATGCTTAATTGTCCCAATTTTTGAGTAGTTAGTACAGATGACTGACATTGTCAAGAGTTAGGGTTCCTCAGGTTTTCTGAGGCCGCAGAACAAGGGGTACCAAATTGAGGTATTGCTCAAAGTGCTGGGCTGTGGAATTAAACTGGATGGGCAAGAGTGGAGCCAGAGGAGACTGATAGGGACAAAGCCAAATTTGGGGAGTTCTGAAGGATTGGAAACAGGTCCAAGAGCTAGAGAGAGAGAGACACTGTAAACAGGTCACCTGTGAAAGGGAAAATGATGTAACTGGAATTAAAAAGATAAGAATTTCTACTGTCATATATAACTAAAAAGAACAACAAAAAGATAAAAATTTGGTCACACAGAAATGAGTCAGCCATCGATGATTAATGACTATGAATAAAGACTCCATTCTTTTTATGCATCTTCTACATATTAGTTTTTCCCATGAAAAATTGAATATAGAGTGGGGTTTTTTTCATCAAGCTCTTGTACATAACTTAAAAATGTACATAACTTTAAAAAATTGTTAATTAAAGAGGTAGGTCTGGGCAGAACTGAAAAGGGTTCTTATATGCCATTCTAAGGATCTTGACCTTTATCCCAAAGGAGCCATTGAAAAGTTTAAAATCAGAAAGTAACAAATGTTCAAAGGCACATTTCAGAAAGCGTGGAGTGGAGATCTGAACCCAGTTAGGAGACTCTCAAAGTCACCCAGGAAAAGGCTCAATGGTGGAGAAGAAATTATAACTAGGAAAACTATTGGAATCTGGGGTTTAGAGGTTGGTTGGGTATAGAAATATAGTAGGAAGGAGACAAAGGCAATATCCAGGACTCTAGTTTTGGTGACTTTGTGGAATCTGATGGCATTCACAGAGATAGAGAATATAAGAAGAAAACAGCTTTGGGCAAAGAAGAGTTTAGTTGGGCATATATTGAGTTTGATGCAGTTCTTGGACCAGTCCTGGTAAACATCCCAATAGAGCATGTAAGACTGTAATTTAGGAAATCCTCAGCTGAAAATAGTCTATAAGTTAAATGGATTTGATGGCAATCACCCTGTTGTGATGGCACATGCCTGTAATCCCAGTGACTCCCGAGGCTGAGGCAGGAGGAAAGTTTGAGGCCAGCCTTAGCAACCTAGGGAGATCCTGTCTCAAAATTTTAAAAAAGGGCTGGGGATATGGCTCAATGATTAAGTACCCTGGGTTTAATTCCCCAGTACTAAAAAAAAATTAAATAAAATAAAAAAAAAAGATTTGATGGCAATCTTCACTTTTTATTTTGTATTAATAGGTATTAATCATACAGATTAATAAAGTTCAGTATGATATATCAATATGCATAAGCATGCACTGACCAAATCTAGCCTCACTCTATGATGGCAGTCTTTAATCTATCCCCCAAACCTAAATAGTCTGAGAATTCCATTGAGATAATATAATAAGAATTTAAATATTACCATAAAGTGGGCAAGCTTCACAATCCCTTCAATCATCCTCCAGTTTTATCTCAATCACCATGGTATAATTTCTAGGAAGTTGTTGTTTTCCTCTGGAATATCAGCTTCAGAAGGTTAGAGATGTTTTACAATGGCAGGGCTGGGGATGTGGCTCAAGCGGTAGCGTGCTCGCCTGGCATGCGTGCAGCCCGGGTTCGATCCTCAGCACCACATACAAACAAAGATGTTGTGTCCGCTGAAAACTAATAAATAAATATTAAAAAAAAAAGGTTAGAGACGTTTTATAATGAAAATCCCTATTAAAAAGAAAATTATTAAAACTCAAACCTGTCCCTCCTTGTTTCACAAATTCTACATGGAATAGGAGGAGCCCTGAATTAGCTGAGAAAAATAGCTGAGGTCCATCACCTCCCAGAGAATCCAGCCCCAAAAGCAAAATAAACTATCAGGGCTCTCTACTGACTCTCCTGGATCAGGTGAACTGTTTACAGAGAGAAAGGTAGAAGAAAAAAAGCATGGACACTAGTTAGGAGGTTGGTGGGCAGGAGGCATGATGTCATCTCCTAGCCTCAGATGCAGAGGGGCTTGGTGCCTTCTTCATTGGCTCAGAGGTGCCTCCCACCTGCATTGTCAATGCTGGGTGCACGCTGCTGTGGAAATTCTCCCTTTTCAGGACTTTATGCAGACAGTGCCCTTTTTACTCTCACTTATTTTGTTGTATAAAAAAACCCTTTTTCCCCATGAATTTCATTCAAGCTTTTAAGAGATGCTTATACATTATTTGTTGATTTTTATTACTTCCACCCTCAAAAGATTAACATTCCAAGTCAGCTTACCAAGGCAGTGTACTGACTACACAGGCATTCCTTAACTGTTTTCAGACTTTCAGGCTCTGATCCTTAGAAATGTTCATTTACAGACCTCCCTCTACATCGATGTCAATACCAATTGCTGGTGAATCTGAGTCTCTGGAAGAAGACAGGAAAGGTGGAGAGACTCTCAAAGTGCATCTTGGAATAGCAGGTACGTCTGCGAAGCTTACTGATTTTTTTTAATTTGTGAGAAATAGAATTATTTGAACTCCAAAAAAATTCCCAAAATTTTTCCAGATTTAAATTTTTACTTTTAAGAATCAGGAGAGTTTTAATTGTGCAATTCTTGGTAAGCCAGTGTTTTATTTTGTCTAAAGTGATGTGCTTTGACAGACTGAAAAGCTAAATATTGAGTTGACACCCACCCCCCATCATGTGCCTCTCCTCCCAACAGATGCAACAGGAGACTACAGATTTTTCCCATTCCACATGCCCAACAACTTCTGCCAGTCACCTCTCAGGTGATATCAGCACATTAGGAGCTAGCAGGAAAATTCTCAGTGTTGCTTCTCTTCCAGAAATCACTTTCCCTTACCAGTGGTTCCCAGCCCTTAGTGTGTGT